GCCAGGGAACATACAAGAATCAGCCAATGAATGCATAAATAAGTAGAATGACAAACTAATGTTTCTTTCTCTCTCTATCCCTTCCTTTCCCTTCCTCTTTCTCTCTCTCAAATCAATAAATAAAAATTTAGGCGGGGTGGGGGGGATCTTCAGGTGAAGATTAAAAAAGAGGGGGAGCTCTGGCCAATTTGGCTCAACGGTTAGCGGATCGGCCTATGGACTAACGTGTCTCAGGTTTGATTCCCAAAGCCACATATCTGGGTTGCAGGTTCAATCCCTGGCCCTGGTTGGGGTCATGCAGGAGGCAACCAATCGATGCTTCTTTCTCATACCAATGTTTCTCTCTCTCCCTCCCTCCCTCCTTTCCACTTTCTCAGAAAATCAATGGAAAATATCCTCAGGTGAGGATTAACCATAAAAGGGGGAGGGGATTATTAATAAAAAATAAATAAAATGGGGAGGGGTTCTTCTTGAAGAAGAAAAGATAAACAATATGAATAATGAAATGGCAATAAATACATATCTATCAATAATTCATTTAAATGCAAAAGGATTAAATGCTCCAATCAAAAGACATGGGGTTGCTGAATTAAATAACAAAACAAGACACATGTCTACAAGAAACTCACTTCAGATGGAAAGACACACAGACTGAAAGGAAAGGGATGGGAACAGATACTTAATGGAAACAAACAAACAAAAAAGCTGGGGTAGCAATACTTATACCTGTCAAAATAGACTTTAAAATAAAACCCATAACAAAAGATAATGAAGGACCCAGCAATTCCAATCTTGCTGTTTATCTGAAGAAACCCAAAACACCAAATCGAAAAGACATATGCACCTATATGTTTATTGCAGCATTATTTAGAATAGTCAAAATATGGAAGCAACCTAATTATCCATCAGCAAATATATGGATAAAAAGTGATACATAACCCGGCCCATGTGGCTCGGTGGTTGAGCATTGACCCTTGCACCAAGAGGTCGCTGGTTCAATTCCTGACAGGGCATATGCCCAGGTTGTGGGCCCAATCCCCAATGGGGGCCATGCAGGAGGTGGCCAGTTGATGTTCTCTCTTATCAGTGTTTCTGTCTCTCCCTATCCCTCTCTGAAATCAATAAAAAGAAAAAATATGTTTAAAAAAGTAATACATAACCTTGGCCGGTTTGGGTCAGCAGTAGAGCATTGGTTCATGGACCAATGAGTTGTGGGTTTGATTCCATTCAAGAGTATGTATCTTGGTTTTCAGCTTTTCCCCGGCCCTGGTTGGGGTTGTGCTGGAGGCAGCCAGTTGATGTGTCCCTCTCATGCTGATGTTTCTTTCACTCTCGCTCCCTCCCACTTTATCTGAAGAGAAATGGAAAAATATCCTCAGGAAAAAAAAAAGTGAGCTCTGGCCGGTTTGGCTCAGGGGTTAGAGCATCCACCTGCAGTTTAGAGAGACCCAGGTTCGGTTCCCGCTAAGGGCGCGTACCTCGGTTGCAGTTTGTCCCTGGCCCTGGTTGGTCATGCAGGTGGCAGCCACTTGATGTGTCCCTGTCTTGTCGATGTTTCTCTCTCTCTCTCTCTCTCTCTCTCTCTCTCTCTCTCTCTCTCCCTCCCTCCCTCCCTCCCTCCCTCTCTATCTGAACAAAAAATGGAAAACAATGTCCTTGAGTGAGGATAAAAACAAAAAGTGATACATACATTCAGTGAAATTTGACTCAGCCATTCAAAAAAAGAAGAATGAAAAGTTGCCATTTGCAACAGTATGGTTGGTCCTAGAGGTATTTTGCTGAGTGAAATAAGTCAGAGAAAGACAGATGCTGTATGATTTCACTTGTATGTGGAACCTATAAACAAAATAAATGAACAAGCAGACCAGAAACAGACTCAATACAGAGAACATTTTGATGGTTGCCAGATGATTGGGGTGTGTGTGTGTGTGTGTGTGTGAAAAACATGAAGGGATTAAGAAGTATAAATTAGTACTTACAGAATAGTCGGGATGAAAAGTATAGCACGGAATATAGCCAATAATATTGTAATAACTGTATGGTGTCAGATAGGTACTAGATTTATTGGGGTGATCACTTCATAAGTTATATAAATGTTTATCACTGGATTTTACACCTGAAACTAATATATTGTATGTCAAATATAATTGAAAAATAAAAATTAGCCCAGCCACTGTGGTTCAGTGGATTGTGCGTCCTCCCATGGGCTGAGAGGTCCCAGTTTGATTCCTGGTCAGGGCACATGCCCAGGTTGTGGGCTCGATCCCCAGAAGGGGTGGGGGGGCAGCCAATGGATGTTTCTCTCTCTCTTTTTTTTTTAATCCTCACTCGAGGACATTTTTCCATTTTTTGTACAGACAGAGTGGGAGGGAGAGAGAGAGGGAAACATCAACGTGAAAGGGACACATCGAGTGGCTGCCACCCGCACGACCAACCGGGGCCGGGACAAACTGCAACCGAAGTACGTGCCCTTAGCGGGAACCGAACCCGGGTCTCTCCGGACCGCAGGCCGACGCTCTAACCGCTGAGCCAAACTGGCTAGGGCTGATGTTTCTCTCTCATATCAATGTATCTGTCTCCCTTCCTCTCTCTCTAAAAAATCAATACAAATATCTTTTAAAAAAGAAAAAGAAAAATTGTTTCAAAAAATAAAAGCTATGAAAAAAAATTTTTTTTTTATCTTCACCCGAGGACATTTTTCCATTTTTTGTTCAGGTAGAGTGGGAGGGAGAGAGAGGAAGAGAGAGAGAGAGAGAGAAACATTGATGTGAAAGGAACACATTGAGTGGCTGCCACCCGCACAACCGACCAGGGCCGGGGACAAACTGCAACCGAGGTACGCGCCCTTAGCGGGAACCGAACCCGGGTCTCTCAGGACCGCAGGCCGACGCTCTAACCGCTGAACCAAACCGGCCAGGGCGATAAAAAATTTTTTTAATTGAAATGATTGAAGAAGTAGGCTTTAGAAGAGAGAAGAATTAGGATTTCTGTCTAAATAATAATCTAGGTATTGAAATGTTCAAGTTTAAGAAGTAGATTAACTCATAAAGGGAAGCCACAATTCATTTTATATCATCCTGTAACATGTTTGTTTTATTTTTACTTGCCCCTTTAAAGGCCTAGCTCTTGTTCAAAAATAACGTGGCAATTAAAATAACTAAGAGTAGCCCGGGCCGGTATGTATGGCTCAGTGATTGAGTGATGACCCATACACCCAGAGGTCGCTGGTTCGATTCCCTGTCAGGGCACATGCCGGGGTTGTGGGCTCGATCCCCAGTAGGGTGTGTGCAGGAGGCAGCCAATCAGTGTTTCTGTCTTATTGATGTTTTTATCTATCTATCCTTCTCCCTTCCTTTCTCTCTAAAAAATCAATTTTAAAAACCCCTGCATTAAAATCGGAAGATTAAAATAGCACTCTTTCACAGCATTTTATCGAAGTAAACAAGAATAACTCATATGGAACATTTCTAAAATGAAAACCTCATCAGAACTACCCCACCAACTTTCCCGAAGAATAAAAACACAAATAAGTTAACTTCTGATATTAGCCATTATCGTAGGAGGCCAATTTATCATCACATTATAGAAGGAACAAAGACTTTGTTCTCTTTTGTTTGTTTATTTTTCTTTATCTGGAGGGAAAAGGGGGAAAGAGAAGTTGTGTATGAAGGGAGAGGTAGAAAGAGGAAGAAGAGAGATGCTGGGAGAAAGGAAGGGAACATGAAGGGCTGGGAGGAGAGAGGTGGAGGGAGAGGCAAGAGGAAAAGGAGGTGGCAGAGGTGTGGAAGAGTAGGAGAGAGGAGGGGAAGGAGAAAAAGTCTTTTGTTCTTATGTTGAATATTAAATGTAGAAATTTCATGTTAATACAAGATTTATAATTCACTCTGTGATGCTGAAAGGATTGTTCTTTATAGTAAATAAAAGCCCTCCAAAAAAAGTGATTTTCACTTAAAATCATTCTCCTAAATAAATATCAAAAGAGGTAGAGTTTAATATAACGAGTCTTTGTGAATTTTTAAAGCGATTGCATGGTCATTCAGCCTTATAATTAAAATAACTAATGAAGGTGATATTTCTTTTTTTTAGTTGTGGAATGATTAATCATATTTTACCTTCCTGTTATTTTCATCATGCATATTGAAGGTTCCTTATATTTAGATGTATGGGATATCCTATTTATGATACAGTTTAAACATACATTATAGTATGATATATGCAGACTTTTAAAAACTCACCCAAGGATATGTTTATTGATTTTACAGAGAGAGAAACATAAATGTGAGATAGAAACATTGATCGGTTGCCTCCCATACATGCCCTAACTGGGGATCAAACCTGCAACCTGTAAGTGGCCTGACCAGGAATCGAACCTGCAACTTTTTGGTGCATGGGACAGTGCTCCAGCCAACTGAGCCACCTGGCCAGGGCTATGCAGATTTTTTAAAAGATGTGCGTGCACACACACAAATATAAAATGATCTTCTTTACTTTCTGCCTTGATGGAGTTGGTACCAGTGCTACCATTTATGCCAAAGCATGGTCCTTTTCCCTTCTCCTGGTGCTTTCTGCAGTTTTATTCCCTGCCTTCCTGGAATCACCATTTTCTGTGTACTAAAACCCAGATGTACCAATCCCTAACAATTACTGCCCTCTTTGCCACAGAAAACATTAGAATCTGATTTGTGTAACAACTGAGTTTTAATTAATTCAGTTGACTTGCCATAAAGTTGATATCTTTGTTTTTCTGTCGTGATAAAAAGTGCATTAATTAAATTGCATTATATTATCTATGTTCTCTAAGACATTACAAACCGTAAGTTATGAAGTTTTAACCAAGATTTCAAAATCTATATTTTTCTTCATGTAAAGTATATTTATTTTGTGTCCAAAGCAATAGAGACTCTTGTAACCATTTTGACAAACATCAGAGACTGTTAACTTTTGAATCTTCCAGATTTTCACAATAAAGTCTCTGTTTTTGTTTTCCTTTTTTCTTGTAGTGGACGTTCGGGAGTAATAAAAATAAAAAGAAAGGGAAGGCCAGAAAAATAGAGAAGAAAGGAACCATGAAGAAACAGACCAGTAAAACTGCTTCATCAGGCAGTTCGGACAAAGACAGTTCAGCTGAGAGCTCAGCCCCGGAGGAAGGTGAGCCAAGCAGCCCAGACCCTGGGAGTGAACTCCCATTCTTGTCAGGTTGAAGATGCAGAGTCAGAAATGGAGTGGAAATGTGCATGCATTACAGCCATTCACAACATTGACAATAGTCATAGATCCTTTGAGGATCTGAATGAAACAAGAAATACACATGCAGTTCCACAGGTTAAGGAGGTCCGTGAAACCCATTCAGGAAACCCATGAGGAGTCTCTGCATTAGAGTCTCAATTCACTTTACTCTGGGTGCCTTCCCTTCCCTCTTATGCGTGGTCTGACTGAAGAGGAAAATCCTTGAACCCGGGTACAAAACTCAGTTAATAAAATGGGCTTATTAGGAATTCACTAATCAATTTAATGACTCATTAAAACATTGATTTCATGTTTAATGTCAACTAATAAATGTAGAAGAAATGATAGAAAAATCAGTTTTCAATCATCAGTAATAATTGATTTACTCTAGAACAGTGGTTCTCAACCTTTGGGGGTCAAATGACCCTTTCACAGGTGTCACTAAGACATAACAGTAGCAAAAGTACAATTATGAAGTAGCAGTGAATATAATTTTATGGTTGGGGGTCACCACAACATTAGGAACTGTATTAAAGGGTCATGGCATTAGGAAGGTTAAGAACCACTGCTCTAGCCCTGGCCGGTTTGGCTCAGTGGTTGTAGCGTCGGCCTGCGGTTCCCATTAAGGGCACGTACCTCGGTTGCAGTTTGTCCCCGGCCCTGGTTGGTCGTGCGGGTGGCAGCCGCTCGATGTGTCCCTTCACATCGATGTTTCTCTCTCTCTCTCTCTTCCTCTCTCTCCCTCCTGCTCTATCTGAACAAAAAATGGAAAAATGTCCTCGGATGAGGATAAAAAAAAAAAACCACTGCTCTAGAGTTACCAATGACTGTTAAAACCATTGATTGAGTGAGAGTTTGTTGGGGAGCAAGATGTTTACAGTCAAGCCATGGCTGGTTTGGCTCAGCGGCTGGAGCGTAGGCCTGTGGTCCAGAGAGACCCGGGTTCGGTTCCCGCTAAGGGCATGTACCTTGGTTGCAGTTTATCCCCAGCCCAAGTTGGGTTGTGCGGGTGGCAACCACTTGATGTGTCCCTTTCACGTCGATGTTTCTCTCTCTCTCTCCCTCTCCCTCTCCCACTCTATCTGAACAAAATATGGAAAAATGTCCTCAGATGAGGATTAAAAAAAAAAAGATGTTTACAGTCAAAACATCTTTCTATTATACTAACTAACTATAGAGGAGGGGGGAAAAGTGCCTTTTCAGCCCTGGTGGGTTTGGCTCAGCAGTTAGAGCATAGGCCCGCGGACCAGAGAGACCCAGGTTCGGTTCCCACTAAGGGCGTGTTCCTTGGTTGCATTTTATCCCCAGCCCTGGTTGGGGTCGTGTGGGTGGCAACCAGTCGATGTGTCTTGGGTGAGGATAAAAAGTTCTTTAAAAAGTGCCTTTTCATCAAACAACAAGTGTTGGCGAGGGTGTGGAGAAAAGAGGACTCCAGTACACTGCTGGTGGGAATGCAGACTGGTGCAGCCACTATGGAAAACAATATGGTGTTACCGCAAAAACGTATAAACTGAACTTTCATTTGACCCAGAGATCCCACTTCTAGGAAATACACACTAAGAAGCCTGAAACACCCATTAGAAAGAATATATGGCCCTGGCCAGTTTGGCTCAGCGGTTAGAGCGTCGGCCTGCGGTCCGGAGAGACCTGGGTTCGGTTCCCGCTAAGGGCACGTACTTCGGTTGCAGTTTGTCCCCGGCCCTGGTTGGTCGTGCGGGTGGCAGCCACTCGATGTGTCCCTTCACATCGATGTTTCTCTTTCTCTCTCCCTTCCACTCTATCTGTACGAAAAATGGAAAAATATCCTCGGGTGAGGATAAAAAAAAAAAGAAAGAATATATGTACCCCCATGTTTGTAGCAGCACTATTTACAATAGCTAAGATCTGGAAACAGCCCAAGTGTCCATCAGTAGATGAATGGATAAAAAAGCAGTGGTACATATACACAATGGAGTACTGCGCAGCTGTAAGAAAGAAAGATCTCTTATCCTTTGAGACTACATGGAGGGACCTGGAAAGTATCATCCTAAGTGAAACAAGCCAAATAGAGAAAGACAAATACCACATGATCTCACTTATATACGGAATATAATGAACATAACAGTCTGAGGAATGGGGTAGTCCCAGAGACTGACAATCCCCAGAAAAGGGGGTGGTGGGGGAGAGATAAACCACAGAACTTATATGCATTTATGCATGAACAATGGACATGGACAACAAAGCTGGGGACCGGGCAGGGAGGGAGGGGGAGGGGGGACTCAGTGGGGGGGGGGGAGAAACATCTGTAACAAAAATTAATTAATATATATATATTTTTAAAAAGGGTGCCTTTTCAAAGGAGAAAACTAGGGACACCACCTTAATCAAAAATCCAAATTAATATAATTAGTAATAGAACAAATAGATGGCAGATGCTTCCTGATGTATACTTTGAAAATGAAAATGACACAATCACTTAGGAGTATTTTTTTTGTTGTTAAATATATGTTCTTATTGATAGAGAGGGGAAGGGAGAGGGAAGAGAGGTAGAAACATTGATGAGAGAGAAACATCGACAGGCTGCCTCCTGCATACTCTCTACTGGGGACTGAGCCAGAAACCCAGGCTTGCACCCTGACCAGGAATTGAACCAGTGACCTCTTGGTGCATGGGACAACGCTCAACCAGCTGAGCCACACTGACCAGGCAGGGATTATTCTTGCCAAAAATTCATAACCTGAATGGTGCTTGATGAAACTAACCAACCTAAATTGGGGACTTTTGATAACTGTGGCTGTTTAAATTTGAATTAATTAAAAGTAAAGATTAAGCCCTGGCCAGTTTGGCTCAGCTGTTAGAGCATTGGCCTGCGGTCCGGAGAGACCCGGGTTCGGTTCCTGCTAAGGGCATGTGCCTCGGTTGCAGTTTGTCCCTGGTCCTGGTTGGTCGTGCGGGTGGCGGCCACTCGATGTGTCCCTTTCACATCAATGTTTCTCTCTCTCTCTTTCTTCCTCTCTCTCCCTCCCACTCTGTCTGTACAAAAAATGGAAAAATGTCCTCGGGTGAGGATATAAAAAAAAAAAAGTAAAGATTAAGCCCTGGCCCGTTTGGGTCAGTGGTTAGAGTGTCGACCTGCGGTCCAGAGAGACCCAGGTTCGGTTCCCGCTAAGAGCACATACCTCAGTTGCAGTTTGTCCCCGGCCCTGGTTGGGTCATGTGGGTGGTGGCCACTCGATGTGTCCCTTTCACGTCGATGCTTCTCTCTCTCTCTCTCTCCCTCCCCGCCCTCCCCCCCCCCCCGTCTGAACAAAAAATGGAAAAATGTCCTCTGGTGAGGATAAAAAAAAAAGTAAAAAAATTTAAATAATAAATAAATAAATAAATAAAAGTAAAGATTAAAAAGAGTGTCTCTCTCTGGCTGGTTTGGTTCAGCAGTTAGAACATTGACCTGTGGATCAAAGGTCTCAGGTTCAATTCCCAGTCAAGGGCACATACCTGGGTTGTAGGTTCAAACCCCAGCCCTGATTGGGGCTTGCAGGAGGCAACCAATCAATGTGTCTCTCTCACAGTGATGTTTCTCTTTCTCCTTTCTTCCCTCCCACTCAATCTAAAAATCAATGGAAAAATATCCTTGAGTGAGCATTAACAAAAATAAAATAAAATAAAATAAAATAAAATAAAATAAAATAAAATAAAAATGGAGTGTCTCAGTTGCATTAGCCACATTTCATTTGCTCAGTAGCCACATGTGCTTGCTACTGCTCAGATAAAGAATATTTTTATCATCAATTCATAAGATTCTGTCAGATAATATTTGGGCTTGTACTCTTCAAAAATTCAGTGACATGAAAGGGAAAAAAGGCTGTTACAGATTAGAGGCTAGTAGAGAGACGTGGCAACCAAACTCAGTGTGTAATCCTAGATTGAGTCCTTCTTTGAAAAGTGGCTGTAAAGGACTGTTAGAACAATTGGTGAAATTTGAATATGGAGTACATGTTAGATAAGGGTATTACATCAATGTTAAATTTCCTGAATCTGATGATTGTATAATTGGTTATGTAAAAGACTGTCTTTTTTAGGAGTAGTGTTTAGGTGTGAAGGGTTACAATCTCTGTAACTTACTTTCACTTCAGCAAAATGAATAATAAAAATGTATGCATTATTTTATGTATGTAGACAGAAAGTAAATTGGCAATGTTAACAATGGGTGGACTTAAGTTAAAAGATATATGGAAGTCACCTATCCTTGTAACTTTTTACTTTAGTTCTGCAATTTTTTCATAATAAAAAAGTTAAATTAAAAAGGACATGCTGGCCCTGGCCGGTTTGGCTCAGCGGTTAGAGCGTCGGCCTGCGGTACAGAGAGACCCGGGTTCGGTTCCCGCTAAGGGCATGTACCTCGGTTGCAGTTTGTCCCCGGCCCTGGTTGGTCGTGCAGGTGGCAGCCACTCGATGTGTCCCTTCACATCGATGTTTCTCTCTCTCTCTCTTCCTCTCTCTCCCTCCCGCTCTATCTGAACAAAAAATGGAAAAATGTCCTTGGGTGAGGATAAAAAAAAAAAAAGAAGAACATGCTGGTTTATATTCCAGCTAACCTGTGTTTGCATTTGCCAAAGGCAGAACAAAAACTGTTCCCAAAGGAGCAGAGATGCCACTTTACCTAGGAGAGCCGAGGAGTAATGATTATCAACACTGTGGAGTCACCTGTGGCCTATCTTCTCTAGCAGAGCCTAATCCTGTGTTTCGGCCTTTGTTGCAGGTGAAGTGTCTGATTCTGACAGCAACAGCTCCTCCTCCAGTTCAGATTCAGACTCTTCTTCAGAAGATGAAGAATTCCATGATGGCTATGGAGAAGACCTCATGGGAGATGAGGAAGACAGGGCTCGTCTAGAACAGATGACAGAGAAGGAAAGAGAGCAAGAACTGTTTAACCGCATAGAGAAACGTGAGGTGTTGAAAAGAAGGTAAGGTTGTCTCAGGAAATAAAATAGCCCTCAGAACTAGGATCCTTTCCCACCTACCTAATATCATAAAATAAAATAAAAAAAATGGAAGCATTTTCTTTGGAAGCCTGTTTGTCCGTTATAGAGACCATATTAAGTATGGTGAGTTATCCTAGACAAGAATATTTGGCTTTTAGTCAGCAGCAACTAATAGACATTTGGTTTGAGCATGAATGCTTCCAAGGTTACCTGTATTGGAACAAACAGGACTTAAGAATCTGTGCTGAAATTGCCAGATGGTTTGGGATGACTTTTAAAAATAGTATTTCTGGCCCTGGCTGGTTTGGCTCAGTGGTTTGTCTCTCTCTCTCCCTCCCTCCCACTCTATCTGATGATAAATAGAAAAATATCTTCGGGTGAGGAATTAAAAATAAATAAATAAATAAATATAGAATTTCTGGACTATGGAAAGCTTAACAAGAGGTTCTTGTATAAGGCCAATAGGGCCTCATGAGAAAATCACAATGTAGCTAAAGAGTAATGGGTGTCTTATCTCAAGGTTTTTTGTTTTTTAATTTTTTCTTTCTTTATTGACTTGAGAGAGAGAGGAAGGGAGAGGGAGAGAGAGAGAGATAGAAACATCGATGAGAGAGAACATCGATTGGCTGCCTCCTGCATGCCCCCCACTGGGGATCGGGCACACAACCTGGGCACATGCTCTAACTAGGAATCAAACCAGTGACCTCTTGGTGCATGGGTCGGCGCTCAACCACTGAGCCACACCGGCCGGGCCAATCTCAAGGTTTTTTATTATATTTTGGTTTTTACAGTGTTTTTTCACCTAATCTGAATGAGGCAATTAACTGATTCCATGACTTTAGTGGCTGGAAGAATGTTTACTCTGATGATAATTAAGATAAGTTCTGAGCCATTCACAGAAAATTGAGATATTTTTATAGCTCATTTGTTTAGCTACAAGACAGTGCAATTGAGTAACTCAGAAATATCCTCCATATTTTAAGAAAAAGGTCATTGTATAGATCTCATTTAATCACAATAATCAATCTTTTTATGTAAATACCTTAGTATCCCATTTTATTTTCAATTGTTAGATTCTTCACCTATTCTTTTTTAATTGAAAAAAAAAGTGTCGCCCCACCAGTGTGGCTCAGTGGATTGAGTGTTACTAAGAGGTCTTGATTCGATTCCTGGTCAGGGCACATGCTTGGGTTTCAGCCTTGATCCCTAGTAGGCAGTGTGCAGGAGGCAGCCAATCCATGTTTCTCTCTCACACCGATGTTTCTATCTCTCTCCCCCTTCTTATCTCTAAATAATAAGAACAGGCTTATATTAAAAAATGTTTAAAGTGAGCGCAGGCAGCCATGAAAAGTAGCTTGGTTGTAGAAAAAGCGCTGACATTTTCAATGAGAGGTCTAGGCTTAATTCAGACTAACTGTCCTGATGATCTGAATTAGTCACTTTCCCTCTTCCTGCCTCACCTTCCTCCTTGGGGATTTTTGTAAGGTTTGAGTGAGATGATACCTATAAGAACATTAGCCTGGCCTGTGTGGCTAGGTGGTTGAGCATTGACCCATACACCAAGAGGTCGCCAGTTTGATTCCAGGTCAGGACACATGCCCAGGTGGGGGCATGCAAGAGGCATCCGATCGATGTTCTCTTTCATCTCTGTTTCTTTCTCTCCCTTTCCCTTCCTTTCTCTAAAATCAATAAGGAAAACCAAAATTTTTAAAAAGTACATTTTGAGATAATTGTTGTAAGTGGTATGAAGTAAGGATCCATCTTCATTCTTTCGCATGTTGCTATTCAGTTGTCTCAGTTCCACTTGTTGAAGAGACTGTTCTTTCCCCAGTCTTGGCACTGTTGTCACAAATCAGTTGTCCATAGCCCTGGCTTTTGTGGCTCAATTGGTTGAGCATCATCCCACTCACTGAGAGGTCTCCAGGTGGATTCCCAGTCTGGGCGCAAGCCTGGGTTTCGAGCTCGTTCCCCAATAGGGGGCGTGCTGGAGGCAGCTGATGTTTCTCTTTCATCAGTGTTTCTTTTTCTCCTTCTCATTTCCTCTCTCCAAAAAAAATAAATAAATAAAATAAAATCCATAATTTAAAATAAAAACAAAAAAACAGTTGTCCATAGATAAATGGGTTTATTTGCTGACTCTCAATTCTCTCCCATTGATCTGTGTCTGTCTTTTGCTAGTACTATACTGTTTGTTTTTGTTTTTCTTATTATTACCTGAGAATATTTTAGATAGAGGGAAGGGAGTGAGGGAGGGAGAGAGAGCGAAACATCCATCTGTGATACTGGCTGCCTCCCACACGGCCCTGGTCCCAACCAGGGCCAGGGATCAAACCCGCAACCAAGGCATGTGCCCTAGACCGGGACTCAAACCTGAGATTCTTTGGTCCTTGGGCCGATGCTTTAACTGCTGAGCCAAATCAGCCAGGGTAGTACTATACTGTTTTGATTACTGTAGCTATGTATTCAGGTTTTTCTTCTTCTTCTTCTTTATTGATTTTCTAGAGAGGGGAAGGGAGAGGGAGAGGGAGAGAGAAATGGAAACATCAATGAGAGAAAACATCGACTGGCCGCCTCCTACATGCCCCCCACTGGGGATTGGGCCCACAACCTGAGCATGTGCTCTGACCGTGAATCAAACCGGTGATCTCTTGGTTCATGGGTTGACGCTCAACCACTGAGCCACACCTGCTGGGCTAGTTTTTAACTTGGGAAGGGTGAGTTCTCCAACTTTGTTCTCCTTTTTCAAAATTGTTTTGTTATATGAGGCTTTTTGTATTCCGATATGAATTTTAAATATTTTTTCTATATTAATTTTAGAGAAGAGAGTAAGGGAGAGGGGGGGGAGAGAGAGTCATTATGAATTTTAATATCAGATTGTCAATTGCTGCAACAACAAAAAATTAGCTGGAAGTGTAATGAATCTGTAGGTCAAATTTGGGAGTATTGTCATCTTAACACTGTGAAGTCTTTCAATCCATGAACATGGTGTCTTTTTACTTCTTTGGGTATTTAATTTCTTTCAACAATGTTTGCCAGTTTTGGTGTAAAAGTCTAGCACTTGTTTTGTTAAATTTATTCCTAAATATTCTTTTGGATGCTATTTTAAATGGAATTGTTTTCTTTGTTAATTTCAAATTGTTCACTGTAAGTACATAGAAATAAAATTAATGTTTTTGTATATTGGTTCAGTACCCTGCAGAGCTCACTTACTAGTTTTAATAATTTTTAGTGGTTTCCTCAAGATTTCCTATATATAAGATCATGTGATCTGCAAAAAGAGATACATTTTACTCCTTCCTTTTCACTATGGACTCCTTCGTTTCTTTTTCTTGCCCTCCAATACCATGTTGAACAGAAATGGTGAGAACACATATTTTGGTCTTATTCCTAATCTTAGTGGAAAGTGTTCAGTCTTTCACCATTACGTATTAAGTTAGCTATGGGTTTTTCATAGATGCCTTCTGAAGTTTCTTTCTGTTCCTTGTTTGTTGAGAGTTTTTATCAGGACAGTGTATTGGATTTTGTTAAGTGTTTTTTCTGTGTTTACTGGAACAATCATGTGGTTTTTGTACTTTATTCTATTAATATAGTATATTACAATGATTGATTTTTTTATGATGAACCAATCTTGCATTACTGAAATAAATCCTACTTGGTCATGGTGTATCATCCTTTTTATATGTTTATGGATTCAATTTGCTATTATTGTTGATTTTTACATAAGTATTCTTTTTTATTTATCTTATTTTTAAAATATTTTTATTGAATTTTAGAGATAGAGAAGGAAACATTCATGTGAGAATGCAATATCCATTAATTGGCTGTCTCCTGCACACCTACTGGGGATTGAGCCTACAACCCCAGGCGTGTGCCCTGATCAGGAATCAAACCGGCAACTCTTTGGTGCCTGGGATGATGCCCAACCAACTGAGCTACACTGGCCAGGGCTACATCAGTATTCTTAAGAGATATACTTCTTCTCTTGTGATGTCATTGTCTGGGTTTGGTGTCAGAACAATACTAGACTCAGAATGGATTGAGAAGTGTTTCCTTTCCTTCTGTTTTTTAGAAGAGTTTATAAAGAATTGGTATTCTTTATTTTTTCTTAATATGTTTTCATTGATTTTTTTTTAGAGAGAGAGATAGAAACATTGATGTGAGAGAAACATTGATGGACTGCCTCCCCCACACCCCCAATTGGGAATTGAGCCTGAAACCTGGGCATGCGCCCTGACCAGGAATTGAACTGGGACCTTTCAATCAATGTAAGAATGTTCAATCCACTGAGACACACCAGCTGGGCTGATATTACTTCTTTAAATGTTTGGTCAATTTCACCCTGGCCGGTTTGGCTCAGCAGTTAGAGTGTCGGCCTTTGGATCAAAGAGAGTCCCGGGTTCGATTTCGGCCAAGGGCATGTACCATGGTTGTGGTTAGTCCCCAGCCCCAGTTGGGGTTTTGTGGGTGGCAACCAATCGATGTGTCTCTCTCACATCGATGTTTCTCCCTCTCTCCCTCCCACTCTGTCTAAAGATAAATGTAAAAATATCCTCAGGTGAGGATTAAAAACATAAATAAATAAATGTTTGGTTGATTTCTCCAGGAAAGCTACCTGAGCCTGAGCTTTTCTTTGTGGGAAGTTTTAAAATTACTAATTCAATCTCTTACTGTAGGTCTTATTAAAACTTTTCCAGCCCTGGCCGGTTTGGCTCAGTGGTTAGAGTGTCAGCCTGCGGTCCACAGAGACCCGGGTTCAGTTCCCACTAAGGGCATGTACCTTGGCTGCAGTTTGTCCCCGGCCCTGGTTGGGTCGTGTGGGTGGCGGCCACTTGATGTGTTCCTTTCACATCTATGTTTCTCTCTCTTCCTCTCTCTCCCTCCCGCTCTATTTGAATAAAAAATGGAAAAATGTCCTCGGGTGAGGACAAAAAAACAAAGAATGAACTCTGGTTTTATTGATTATCCATTTTGTGTTTCATTCATTTCTGCGCTAATCTTGATTCTGTGCTTATGCTTGTTTTTTGTTTTTTTTTATGTTTTATTGATTTTTATAGAGAGACGAAGGGAAAGGGAGAGAGAGAGAAACATCCATGATGAAAGAGAAACATCAATTGGCTGCCTCCTGTATGCCCCCTACTGGGGATCTAGCCTGCAACCTGGACAATGTGCCCTGATTGACCTCTTGGTGCATGGGTCGATGCTCAACCACTGAGCCACACCAGCTGGGCTTTTCTGCTTGTTTTATATTTAGTTATCTCTTTTTCCACTGTCTTAAGGTGAAGATTAAGTTATTGATTTGAAATCTTTTTGTTTTAGTATAGGCATTTACCCATATACATTTCCCTTTAGGTACTGCATAAGCTACATTCTGTAAGTTTTGCTATGTTGTATATTCATTTTCAGTCATCTCAAATTATTTTCTAATTTAATTTGTGATTTCTTCTTTGACACATTGGTTATTTAGGAATGTGTTGTTGTTTAATTATTACCTGTTTTAAAAAGGAGTAAATTCATAACAGTGCACTCCTTTCTCACATTATAAAAGTACATTTACAACCTTAATAATGACCAAAAAGAACATAAAAATGTTTGAGTACTGTGTTAAGAACTAAGTAAAAATTTGTCTATTGGGGTTATTTAGGAGTGTTATGATAAGAGTTTAGTGTTTAGTATATTCCTTTATCCCATTCATAAAATTTCTTAAGTTCACAAAAAGACAGTTTTACTTCATAAAAGCCTGATTTTATTATAGGAGGGAGCCTAGATTATATTTGTTTAAGAGAATAGCATATTTATTCATGTTTGCTGGGGTGGAGACGGGGGTGTATTTTTCCTAATGAAAGAGAGAAAACAGTCTTACTCAAATGCAGCCTTTGTCGTGACCACTTGAAAATGTGACAATGGCTTTCTGTGGCCTCATTCTATTTCTAATGGAACACCATTGGAGTTGATTTTAAAAATCAGTTATTTTCTTCTATTGTGTGAAGGTCAAGGAAGAGCTGTGGGTTACCAATAGGACATAATAGTATCTTGAATATCTTCTCTCCTTTTAAGTCTGTTCCAAATTAATGCTTTTAAATACTTTTGTTGTACTTACATTCAATATTTGTATGGTGCTTGTACATTGGAGTTTCTTACAGGAAGCAAAAATGCTTATTAACTCTTTCCCCCTACTTACTTCCTTTCTCCTTTCTAATAGAAATCAGTCTTCACAAATATTTTATTACCACTTACAAAACTAAACAAATATCTTTTAACCAGATTTGAAATCAAGAAAAAACTAAAAACAGCCAAAAAGAAAGAAAAGAAAGAAAAAAAGAAAAAGCAAGAAGAGGAGCAGGAAAAGAAAAAGCTGACACAGATTCAAGAATCTCAGGTAGGAGATTCATTGGATCTCATTATCCAAAGAGTAAAGTCTGTGTTGAATGTATATATTTATATAAAAGGTGGGTTTATATTAATCAGCCTAGGTCAGTTAGTGCAAGACAATTCATATCATCTTCATTAATCTCTAGATATATCATTTCACCATTAGCCGTTTAATTTCTTAGGAATCCTTTACTTAAGACTATTGTAAAAAGCAGTTCACTAATGTGTAAGCAGCCTCTAAGGAAAAGTTGGTAAACATACTTTCCCAGGTAGCCCAATTGGTTATGATGTTTACTCAGTCAGGTGTATATTGTCCTGTACTTGGTTGTAAGAATAGCTGGGAAAATTAGTCATCTCTGCATCATCACATAAAGCTTTGTTGACAATATCAGCAAATATTGGCTATGATCTAGGGTGTCCTTCTTGAAAGTGCTTATTCCTGCCCTGGCCGGTTTGGCTCAGCGGTTAAAGCGTCGGCCTGCGGTCCGGAGAGACCCAGGTTCGGTTCCCGCTAAGGGCATGTACCTCGTTTGCAGTTTGTCCCCGGCCCTGGTTGGTCGTGCAGGTGGCAGCCACTCGATGTGTCCCTTTCACGTCGATGTTTCTCTCTCTCTCTCTCTCTCTCTCCCTCCTGTTCTATCTGAACAAAGAATGAAAGAGTGTCCTCGGGTGAGGATAAAAAAAAAAAAAGAAAGTGCTTATTCCTAATCTAATGAACAAAATAAACTGACAAAATAGGTCCAGAGGCATGGATGCATGGAACAGACCGACAGATCTCAGCGGGGAGGGGACAGGAAGAGACTAACCAAAGAACTTAATACACATAGCCCATGGATATAGACAATAGTGTAGTGAAGGCCTGGGGTGGGGCAGGGACTGGGTGGAGGAGGACAAAGAGGGGGTAAATGGGAGACATTTGTAATACTGTCAACAATAAATATATATATAATATATATTTTTTTTATCCTCACCCGAGGACATTTTTTCATTTTTTGTTCAGATAGAGCAGGAGGAAGAGAGAAAGAGAGAGAGAGAGAGACAGAGACAGAGACAGAGACAGAGACAGAGACAGAGACATCGGTGTGAAAGGGATACATTGAGTGACTGCCACCCACACGACCCAACTAGGGCCAGGGACAAACTGCAACCGAGGTACATGCCCTTAGTGGACACTGAACCCGGGTCTCTCTGGACCACAGGCACACGCTCCAACCGCTGAGCCAAACCGGCCAGGACTATATCTTTTTTTAAAAAGTGCTTATTCCTATAATTAGGCTTTCTGTTTATTAGGCAGGTAACATGGGGGCTGATTTTACTGCTGCTCTATTCTCTTTGTCCACAAGAGGATGCTCTCCCCCTTTAAACAAGTTTCAGTTTCTGCAACCAATGTAGATTCACAGTGAAGAACTGGATTTATTTTGGGGTATAGAAAATCTTATAAGCAGTTGGTAAAAAGAACCATCCTACATAATTTTCTCTTCCCAGGTAACATCCCATAACAAGGAACGGCGTTCCAAACGGGATGAGAAACTAGATAAGAAATCTCAAGCCATGGAGGAGCTAAAAGCAGAGAGAGAAAAACGGAAGAATAGAACAGGTAAGTAGGGAAAACTATGATGCTACTTTGTATCTTTAATTATATAATTTGACTTCCTGGTGCTCATTTTTTATTTTTTCCCTTTTAAAATTCCTTATTATGGGAAATACCAAAAATATACAGAGTATAATATAATGAACCTCCATGAACCCATCATCATCCAACCTCAACAGTCAACTCATGGCCAATGATTTTGTTTGTTTGTTTGATTTTGTTTTGTTTTGTTTGCAGGAATTACAATAAAATTTTTTATTTAGGTTTGGTCAGTACAAACAAGATACACTGGAGTCACAGAGCAATATGCATTAACAGGGTACAACAGTTCATAAAAAGAGTCTTTGCACACAAATGTCTTAAATATTCATTCAGTTACCTAAAAAGAAAATGTACAGGTGTATGGTAGAAAAAGCTATAACACTGAAACTACTATGGGACTCCATTAACAAGCCCAACTTTTAGTGATAAAACTACTGTATTAGGCAAACTTGGCAGTCATAAACCAACATCTACTCTAACAAGTCTGAATGGTGCATAAGAACAGTTATAGTAACTCATGGCCAATCTTGTTAAAGCTATACTCCCTCTTCTATCACATTATATTGAAGTAAATCCCAGCATCATTATAAGCTATACTCCCTCTTCTATCACATTATATTGAAGTAAATCCCAGCATAATTATATTTCAACAATAATTATTTGAATATATTGAAAAGATAAGGACTCGTTTTTTTAAAAAAATTGTAATATCAATACATTACCTGAAAAATGGTAACAAAAAATCCCTTAATATTTTATTTCTTTATCCAAATATCTAGTCAGTCTTCAAATTTCTCACTAGTTGTTCTATAATTAAAATATACTAATTTGGTGCCTGGCCGTGTGGTTCAGTGCTTGAGCATCCACCTATGCACCAAGAGGTCACCAGTTGAATTCCTGGTCAGGGCATATGTCCAGGTTGTGGGCCCAATCCCCAGTGGGGGGCATGCAGGAGGCAGCCAGTCCATGTTCTCTCTCATTAATGTTTCCATCTCTCCCTTCCTCTCTCTTTCTCTCTGTAACATCAATAAAGAAAACACACACACACACACACACTAATTTGGCCTGGCTGGGGTGTGGCTCAGTGGACTGAGCAGTGTCCCATGAACTAAGAGGTCCTGGTTTGATTCCTGGTCAGGGCACATGCCTGAGTTTCAGGCTTGGTACCCCGTAGGGGGCATGCAGGAGGCAGCCAATTGATGTTTCTCTTTCACATCAATGTTTCTATCTCTCCCTAAAAAATCTATTAAGTAAATAAAATAAAAATGAATGGAAAAAAAATACTCAAGTAAGGATACAAACACACAGACACATAACACACTAATTTGATCATTTGAATTAGGATCGAATAAAATCCACACATTGTGACTTATTAATGTATCTCTGAATTCACTTAATCTGTAGGTTTTCCTGTCCATCTCACTTTTTTAGCCCTTTCTAGCTGATTTGTTGAAGAAACTAGGTCATTTATCCTGTAGTTTCTCACAGATACTGACTACCTCACATTGGTGTTGTTGAATGTGTTCTAGTCCCTTGTACTTAGAGCTAGAGAGTTGGACAGATTTGGATTTGTTCTGTTTGTATTTTGTTTTTTGGGTTTTTTTTGGAAAGCTAAGTTTTAGGTGGTGGTATATCAGGAGACCCAGGATATCGGCTTGTCTCTCATTTTGTGATACCACCAGCTCTCACTTAATTATTACTACAATAATGTGAAATAACAAACGGCCTCAAACTCAGATAAACAATCATTTGTTCTTGCTTATGCATCTGCAGTTCAGCTAGGGGTTGCCTGATATACAGGTTTTGCTGGAATTGTTCCTAAGCTTCAGGACAGAACCAGATCTGTTTCACCTCTCTCTCTCCCACCTCAGACAAGTATAACTAGGGCAAATTATTCTCATGGTGATGGCAGGAGTATAATAGGGGCAAGCAGAAACATGAGATGCCTCTTATGGCCTAGACTTGAATGGGCAGTGTCAGATGTGTACACATTCCACTGGCCAAAGCCCAAAATTAATGGCTGGGAGGAACCACTGAGTCACATTGTGAAGGGCATGGATACAGAGAAGGGTTAAGAATTGGGAATAGTAATATGTTCTATCCCAAAAGTCATTGGTAATCATTACCTAGATCATTTATTATGAGTTGCAAAAGGATGATGTTATAATCTATTATTCTTTCTTCATTTATTATCTGGTCTACTTCTATAAAGAGAAATTTCTTGTCCGCTATTTAATAACCACTAGGCACTTTTCTTTTTATAGGAAAGGCAGAATAAGTGCTTGATTTTTTTTTTTTTTTGCTTTACTAGTTTTTATTTATTTATTTTTATCTTTATTGTTGAATATTACAGATGTCCCTCATTTTTCCCCCATTGACCCCCTCCTCCCCACTCTTGTCCCCCTCCTGCCTTTCCCCACACTGTTGTCTGTGTCCATTGGTTATGTATGTATACATATAAGTTCTTTGGTTTATTTCTCTTCATCCCCCAACCCCCCTTCCCTTTGAGGTTTGTCAGTCTAGCAACCAATTTGTATTTCTTAATCCCTTCACCTTTTTCACCCATTCCCCCCAACCACCACCCCCCATCTGGCAACCAACAAAATGTCTGTATCTATGAGAATGTTTCTGTTCTGCTTGTTCATTTTGCCTGTAGATTTAGTTGTCGATAGATATGTATTCATTGCCATTTTGTTTGTTCATATTTTTTATCTTTTTCTTCAAGAAGACCCTTCAACATTTCATATAATAACGGTTTGGTAGTGATGAACTCCTTTAGCATTTCCTTGTCTGGGAAACTCTTTATATGGCCATAGATTGTAAATGACAGCTTTGCAGGATAATCTTGGTTGTAGGTTCGTGTTTTCCTCACTCTGAATATTTCTTGCCACTCCCTTTTGGCCTGCTTCTTTTGAGAAATCAGCTGACAGTCTAATGGGAACTCCCTTGTAGGTAACTAACTGCTTTTCTCTTGCTGCTTTTAAGATTTCTCTCTTTGTCTTGAACCTTTTGCATTTTGATGATGATGTGTCTTGGTGTGGGCCTCTTGGGATTCATCTTGTTTGGGAATTACTGTGCTTCCTGGACTTGTATGTCTGTTTCCTTCACCACATTAGGGAAGTTTTCTGCCATTATTGTTTCAAACATGTTTTCGATTTCTTGTTCTCTCTCTTCTCCTTCTGGCACCCCAAGATGCGAATGTTGGTATGTTTGAAGTTGTCCCAGAGGCTCCTTACACTATCCTCATTTTTTGGATTCTTTTTTCTTTTTGCTGTTCTGATTGGGTGTTTTTTGCTTCCTTATATTCCAAATCGATGGTTTGCTTCTTGGCTTTACCTACTCTACTATTGAATCTGTGTAAATTATTCTTTATTTCAGTTAGTGCCTCCTTCATTTCTGACTGGTCCAATTTTATGCTCTTGAGGCCCTCACTAAGTTCGCTGAGGTTTTCACTAAGTCCATTGTGCATCCTTATAAGTAGTGTTTTGAACTCCGCATCTGTTAGGTTGCTTATCTCCCTTTCGCTTAGTTCTTTTCTTGGGGTTTTGTTCTGTTCTTTCATTTGGGACCTGTGTCTTTGTCTCCTCATTTTGGCTGTCTCCCTGTCTTTCTTTCTGTGTATTACTTAACGAGAGGTATGGGGCTAGCTGAGACCAGATGCTGCTTGTTTGAAAGACTTCAGGAAAACCTGAAAACCTGAAACAGGCCAATCCTATAGTTAACTGGCAACAGCTTGAGTGGGCCTGAAAGTTGGGTGGGGCAGGGCCTCAGGGAATCACCAGGGAGGGGCAACCAGTGTGAGCCAGGTTGCTGGAGTCCCAGATATGGCCGCCCCAGGGAAGGGCTCACCAAAGGAACAAAGGCCTCTGACAGCACGTTTGTCCTGGAGAAAGCCCCCTCTCCAGCCCTCGCTCCAGTGCCAAACAGCTCAGTTCTTCCCTGTATGTGTCTGGCGCCCCACGAGCTGTCTCCCCTCCAAGCTTAGAGGGAGAGAGTCCGATAAGTCCGTGCGCGGGCCCTTTAAGGAGCTGCCTGGGGCTCCAGCCGCCTCAGCCTCCCTGAGTCTCAGTTCCCGCTGGTTTTCCAGCCAGAGGTTATGGGGACTTCTCTCTCTGGAACTGGAACCCTGAGCGGGGCACCTGGTGTGGGATCGGGACCACCTCAGTCCTCAAGGAGGACCTTCCGAGCCCAGGTGTCTTCCTGATTTTTATCTGCCGCACTGGGTGTGGGACCAGCCCTCCGCCTAAGCCCCTCCTACCAGTCTCTGTGCGGCTGCTTCTTTAATTTTGTAGTTGTAGGGCTTCCATTCAGCTCTATTTCAGGCGGTTCTGAATGATGGTTGTTCTGTAGTTTAGTTGTAACTTCTATGTGGTTGTGGGAGGACGTGATACCGCGTTTACCTACGCCACCATCTTGACCGGAAGTCGCTTTACTGTTTTTTTTTGTTTTTTTTTATCCTCACTCGAGGACATGTTTCCATTTTTTCTTCAGATAGAGTGGGAGAGATGAAGAGAGAGAGAGAAAGAGAGAGAAACATTGATGTGTAAGGGACACATCGAGTGGCTGCCTCTCACACGACCCAACCAGGGCCCGGGACAAACTGCAACCAAGGTACGTGCCCTTAGTGGGAACTGAACCCGGGGCTCTCTGGATTACAGGCCAACGCTCTAACCGTTGAGCCAAATCGGCCAGGGCTTTATTTTTTATTTTTTTTGGTATGTGCCCCTAACGGGAACCAAACCCGGGACTCTCTGGTCCGCACGCTGACGCTCCAGCAGCTGATCCAAACCGGCCAGGGCTGCTTTACTGGTTTTTAAAAGAATAAAATAGTTCCTTAACAACATCCAAAAATGACCCATGAGGTTTGTTTCTTTTTTTATCCTCACCTGAGGACATTTTTTGTTCAGGTAGAGTGGGAGGGAGAGAGAGGAAGAAAGAGAAACATCGATGTGAAAGGGACACAT